ATTTCAGCAGTCAGTCTGTCCAAACCAGGAGCCTGCTTCATTGATAACAACCATATAAAACCTCAAACCTTTGTCCAGCTATGGCCTAATGTACCAAAAGGTACATATAAATAGTTGGGATGCACAGAAATTTCAGCCATAGAAACATTTCAGGCGAAAATGGTGCTATGGGCAAAATGCCTATAGTACCAAAATGCCTGAAAATGCAACAGAAAATGTGGTGCATCCCTAGCTTCTTTTTTTTCCCTCTGGGCACCTGTCTGTGTCTGCTCCAATCCCCGCTGATTTGCCCCAGGGGCAGAGGCAGCATGGATCGGAGGGGACACAGCCGATTCAGCTGCCAGCACCCAGCGGGGAGGAGAGGAGCTGTCAGGAGGCTGAGCAGGGCCGTGTGGGGAGGAGACAGCTGTCAGGAGGCCAAGCAGGGTGGTGCGGGAGGAGAGCTCAGCCTCCTGGGACAGGCAGAGCAGTCAGGATGGAGAGCAGAGCACAAACACTCAGCGATCAGTACTGATTCCCCCCTCCTCTCTCTGACCCTCCAGTGCTGACTGGAGGAACAGACGGGGGAGGGGGCTGGTGTAGGTGGCTTTGCCTCTAGATAGGTATTGTCAGGATCCGTCCCAGCAGTGGTGCTCTCAGTATATCGCGGGCAATATACTGAGCTTAGGGTGACGGGAGGACGCTAGTTTGTGTCCTCCCGTGACCCTAAAGAGAACTATGGGGAAAAACACTCACCCCATAGTTCTCTTTTAAGTTCTTAATTGGCCTTACCTGCAAAACTATAAGGGGCTTGTGGGCTACCTATTTTTTATAATTTTTTGCTTTACCTTATTTTGTAAGCCTGAATAAGAAATGAATATTTCACTATCACATTACTCTTCTACAAAACGGGTAAGGGGAAATCTGTCGTCTTAGGGAATGGAACAACAAAGCAAACTTAGGGGAACACATAATGTATGTCTATCCCGAGGATGGGGTGTCTCCTAAGTTAAACATGCTTAATTTATTTGCACTGTGAGGGGTATTTATCAATCAACTTGCAGACAGAGTCAAACGCCTATTTAGTGCAAATCAGACTAACAGAGACGGCTCTGTGACACCTGCATTCATGTATAGTGCAGGCATGCAGCAGTCATGCAGACATCTGTGGCAGTGATAGTACTCTGTTTGGGGCAGCTTTCCATGCCTAAGATGTGGGCAGGGGCATGTTTTATATTGGCACAGTTCTTCTTTTCATCAGAGGGAGGGACATCTGACTTTGTGAATTACGCTGAGATCTTATTGTAAATCTATCTAATAAAGCGCTGCTCCTGCTCTTTTTAAAAAAAAAAGTATTTAATAAAATAGTATATTATTTTTCAGTAGCATTTGTTACTTTTAAACGTTATCATGCATAGAAACCATGTGTTCACTGAACTCCCTTTATTTTTAGCTCTCTAATGATATTCAAATTGCACATGGTATAGGCTTACACATATTCAAGCTCACTGATCTGAAGCCAATATTGTGATTAGCCCTAGAGATTGTACAGACTAAACACACTAATCAGTCCCTATGGATACTTGGGGCTATTTAATCTATCAAAGGTAACACATGAAATTAAGTGCTTTACCTTTGCAGAAATCTACGATTACCTTGCTATTCTGTATATTCATGCTGTCCGTTTTATATTTCAGTTATCCATATTTCCATCAATCCTAAAACAGCAGCAATCAGCAGCCCTGACACGGGATTTCTTAGCTGTCAGCCATGTAGAATAGCAATGAACATTCCTTAATAAATTAGAAAAATTGGGTATATTCTGCTATGAAACGACATAAAATGATGAACATAATGTACTTCAATGTTTGCTTATTCTTCTTAACAAATAATATTGGTTATACTACAATACTTAGGTGATATCATTTAGACACTGTGATACTTACAGTTTTGAGTTCACTTTGAGCTTTCAGTCTGGTATGTGTCAAAGGTCGCTTTAGGCAGGTGAATTTACAAGGTGCTAAGGTGTTGTCTGTTTTGCACAGTCAGCTCATACATATTCTGTATTTGAGAGACAGGCTAGCCTATTTATTGTTGATGTGTTCAGGGTCAGCACCACGGGGCAGCACAGCAATATGATGAATAATACAGTAATACCTTGGTTTACAAGTAACTTGGTTTGAGAGCGTTTTGCAAGACAAGCAAACATTTCTGAAAAATGTTGCCTTGATATACAAGCAATGTCTTGCAATAAGAGCAAAATGTTGTAGAAAAGCGCCACCCGAATAAGGCTGTAGCAGTGCGAGCGATGAGACTGTTTAACGACAACACAATGTCACATTGAATAGATTCCTTGTTAAGGTTTCACAAAATGAAAAAGATTCCATTGAGTCAAGAGATAGCAGTGATTCCGTTAGTGTTAGTGAAAGTCGTCCTACACAATAATCCTCCTCTCTCTTGTCCCCCTCACACCAGCCACGAAGGTGCCTGTAATTGGTTTATTTTTCTTTATATTTTATACAGTATTATATTACAGTACAGTATTGTAATCATTGTTATATGAATATTTTTGGTTGTGGAACGAATTATCTGAATTTCCATTATTTCCTATGGGGAAGTTCGCTTTGATATACAAGCGCTTTGGATTACAAGCATGCTTCCGGAACGAATTATGCTCTTAAACCAAGGTATTACTGTACTTATTCTCCATTCCACTCCTTTTTTTAGCTGTTGATTAGCGTTTTGTCCATCAGTCTATTCTAAACAGGGAATACATTAAATGGGCAGGTCAACATGTGCATCAAATATGTATCCTGCATATTTCTCTAGTAGCATACTGAAGAACCTAGTAAAACACTGACAGCCTTATCTATGTAATTATTTTCTGAATTCTTTATTTAGATTTCAGGTAATATTTTATAACACAACATAAACATATACTTGGGAAAGGTGCCAACAGTATCCCAAGACATTTGACACATCATGTACATACAGGATAATTTTGTACCAAAGACAAGAGTTCAGATTTCAACATAGGAATGCAGTCCAAGAGTGCTATAGCCTTTAGCATTGATTAGAAAACCACTTTTGCCCTGGGAGTAACCATAGGATATCGGGACCCAATAAAGACCACCCAGAGAGTGAAACTGTGGATTGTGTAAAAATAGGGCGCCCATCGGTCAGAATGGGGCCTCCAGCAGTGCCATGATGAGTAGGCCATTAGATGCCAATCACTAGGTTGTACAGTATAGGAGCATAAAAGGAAAACTAATAAACAGGACAGAAAAGAAAGAATAGCAGGAAGTGAAAGAGAAGAGGGGAGATTACAGCAAGAAGAGGTATAGGGAAGGGAAAAACAAGGGGGAATGGAATGCAACGGTGGCATGGGGGTAGTTCAGAAGGGTGAACCACGACAGGCAAGGCACAACAACCGCACAAAGTCAAAGGAGAGGGGAAGCCTATGGAAATTCCACTAAGGAGCAGTACTGGTGTTAAGGTAATGTTTATCCAGTAAAACCATGTTTTATGAAATTGTTCATCTGTATGGTTTGAGGCCACTATAAGATCCACCATGTTTTTTTATTTAACTAACTTTGTTGGTCCATAGAGGGCAAGTCTGCTTCCAGTAAAGCGGAATACAGGCTTTTGCCACATTCATTAAATGTATGAGCACTGACTTTTTGCAACATTTATTGACATAGAAGTAGGATGGAAGAGGAAAGCTGCTCGGTCATCTCCCAATTGGACGTCGCTTAGTTTAAGGCCTCATTCACACACAACGCAAGCAAAATTGTATATTGCGTATTTACGCGTATATGCGTGCACTATATGCAATCCCAGAATGCATCACTCGTAATGGAATTTTTAATGTGCTGTACGCATGTACGCGCGTATATACACGTATGTGGATGTTAACACGCGTATATACGCAAAAATACGCTGCCCGGACGCATCTCTGTTCCATTCTGTTTTTGTGCATATATACGCTACGCAAATATACGGCTCCATACGCGGCTGTGTGTATGGAGCCATTTATTTGCATATGTTGCATATCGTACAATACGCACGTACGTGCGTATATGCGCGGCAGTGTGAATGAGGCCTTAAAGAAAGTTACCTTTACCTTATCACAAAAGCATTGCAAAAGTGGGCAACTCCAGAACATATGTTACATTGTTCCCCTCGTGTTTTTGACATTTTCAATAGAGGGACAAGCACTGAGGAAATATTTTCTGTATAGCCTTATTTATTTATGTAAACAGCAAATGTACACTGACCCACAGTAAGCAATCAGAATATGTCTTTGTTTTCACTGACCTGTAGTCAGTATGCATTTTTAAAAACAGAAGGTATTTGTATGTCATAATTTCCAACATTAGTCCAAATGAAGGGTTTCTTTTCTTAGGAAAGTGGGTAGAGTCATTCAAATGAGTTTATGCCTCCTTGGCTAACTATGTATCCAGAACAACTTTCTTATAGTTCAGCCTAAATTATTTATTGCCATTTGCATACAGCTGTTTCAGACTGTTTCGCTCTCATCAGGTCAAGATATGGAACACTCGAAGCTGGACTTGTAGGTACCCCACTGGAGCAGCTAGTTATCTTAGGATGAAGTGGGGCAAAAAGAACCAAAATGTAATTCCTCTGAACCACTGTACATTATGGACTACTGCACTTTGTATATTATCACTCTGCATTGCCTTAAAGAAACCCAATAATATATTTATTTTTGTTACAGAGTATGTATGTTGGTGATTGCGATTCTAATTTCATGACAAATCAAAATATAAATGTTGCACACTTTTCTCAAATGTTTTAGTGTTACTAAAAATGGCCAAAATACTGCAATCATTTAGCATCTTTGGTACCGAGTAAAATATTATAGCGTTTAATGTTTGCAGGACAGTTATGACCCTTCTTTTGTGCTAGTGCAGTGTGGCACAAGCATAAAACAGATCTATACATTTAACGGTATTGAATAAAGGTTTGGGTCATTTATCCCGCGTGTTCTCTGGTTCCAGATGGCACGGCCCATTCAGGTGAAGCCTGCAGACAGCGAAAGTCGGGGAGGTATGTATCCAATCAGGAATTGGGAAAATGCTTAAGCAGTGTCTTCCAAAGCAATCCTGAATCCCTGAGTTCAGAGAACCATCATCATGGGGGCTTGTGTGTTCATTAAAAACATTGATTATTAAACACCCTAGATCACAGAGTGTTCAACATCAATGTACATTTACACTGTATCATTCTACAGCACAGCATGTTCATTACTGCAGAATCATACTGAGAGCCATGGTCATTGTCACTGTGTGGAGACTCATCATCATTTTATAGTGGATTGCTGAAAGCATAGAACATGGTTCATGGACAGATTGGTGGCTCTCAATCAAGACATTTGTAATATAATGCATGATTAAATCTGGCCTCTCTAATGTCTATTTATCTTATTTCTGATGACTGTTGTCTATAGATTTGGACTTACTAGTGCTAAGGCTTGATTTTGAACCACTATTATCAAAAAATCTGTCTTTATTGTGCATCATCATATTGTGCAGTGATTGAATTATTTGTATACGTCATTATGTGTATCATCGTAATACAGGGCGGCACTGTCATTATTATTGTGTAGGTAGCCAATGCCTGTTGTGATGTGCGTGTTATATATATAGATATATATATATATATATATATCTATATATATATTTCCCAGTATCACTGTGTGTACTGGGAAGTCATTTATGCTATAAGATTTAAAAAAAACAAAAAACTGATGTACTCAAATGAGGTGTAGAGTGAGCATGAGTATAAATGTGTACATGAATGTCTGGCATTTCTATAACATTTTGCAACTTGCATTGTTCAAGAGCAATGCATTTATTACTCCATTGTAGGGCAAAATGCTTATTATTATTGCAAGGATACTTATCATTATATAGTCATGCGTCCCCACATCCCCCTGCTTAGTCCAGCCTCCCTGACCTGGTTTTGCCGTCACTGTCTACAGCAGCTGAGCACTCCTTAAACCCTTGCAATATACATCACCACCCTGGCACACCGCGTGTCGGCACAGCCTATTGCCATGGCAACCAGATGATGCTTTCAGCTTCAGACACATCTTCACGGTTGCCGGACGGCATGGGAAATTGCCAGTCAGAGGATGGAGAGAGAGAAAGAGAGGCTCTTGGGGGAGAGAAGGGGGCTTGGTGTGTGTCTGTGAGGAGGGAGATTGCGAAGGGAGAGAGAGAGTGCAACAGAGCATGCAAGATGGGAGGTAGAGGGAGTAGGATGCTCTGTGCAGCATGTGTGTGGGGGAGAAAGGGGGGGGGGGGGCGTGTTCAGCCTGTGTGGCGCT